AGGCATAGCTGCTATTCAGGCACAGCTAGTATATAGTATTGTTTTGAATTTCTTTTTCAATATTAGCTAGATGTGTTTGCATGTGCAGGCTAACATTTAACTTGCTACACATGTATGTAAGAGATGTTGTTTCTTTCACGATGTATATCCTGTTATATACAATATCAAATAAAAAAAATGATGTTTACCTATGAGGGAAAACCCCCCCAAAAAAATTATAAAAATATTAAAATTAACAAAGTTTTTGCATTTAACTCTGCTATAACAATAAAACTTTTTAGCTAAAAATCATTTTCCAGTTTGGCTTATACTAGTGTCATAGGTCATGGGTCGATCAGCAGTAACGGTGAAATCCTAGACTTCACAACACTTTAACAGAGGTATTTGATATAACAGGGAGGCTTAAAGGCAGAAAGAAGTGTAGATTTGGCAAGTTTGTGTAATTTGAGAGATTTTATTGGTCAGAACAGTGTGATAAGAAGGTCGATTTTAACACTTTTTTATTGATTAATTTTTCTGCTTTTCTCTTTTCTACTACATTTCCTTACATCATTTTTATACTTTTTCTTACGGCAAAAGAAAAGAAAATAAAGAAAATAAATAAAATAAATAAAATAAATAAAAGAAATAAAAGAAATAAAAGAAATAAAGAAAATAAAAGAAATAATGAGGTTGAGGGTCAATTACCTGTTTTGGCAACCTCTATAATGCGCAATCATCATTTTCTCCATATCATCGATCGTCGTTTCCCCGTAACACTAGTTTACTTTATAATAAATGAATTAAAAACTTTAAAAATCATTGGCACCTTCTTTAAACTATATAAGTCAGCAAATTCTTATCCCCTGCAACTGTAATTAATATTCTTTTCTTGGATCTAATATTAATAGAAACATTTAATTCATTTTCTTAATTTTATAAACTTTTTTAAAAAAAACAGTTTCAGATTATTAATTTATAGAAATTCTATTGTATTAACTTGAAATTTTTTTCAAATAATAAATTATGTATATAACAATATATAATAACATAAATTATTTATTAATTTATAATTTTATTTGAGATTATTAAAATATAGAGACAAATTAAATAATAATTTTGAAAAATGGAATCAGAGAATTTTATAAATTTAGAGAGATAATTAATTTACGGAGGTTCTACTGTATATATTAATATTCTATTTTATATATTAAACATTTCTGCTATTCTGTAGTTTTAAGCAAATTCAAAATACATTAGATTAGAATTTCAAGGTTTTTTTTAGTTAAAATTTGTTCCTTTGATGGCATTTTAATTTTACACATTATTGTAAAAATAGTATGGCGATTTACAAATTAAAAAAAAAAATTAATTACAGAAAAAAAATTATAGATTTCCATTTAATGATTTTAAAATTTTTTCAAATGAAATCGAGTGTTTGTTTGTTGTAACGGATTTTAATATCTATTATTTCAAAAAAATTCTCTAATCTATTAAATCATATTTTTCGTTTCCTAATAATAGTAAGGTAGCATCTAAACATCACGTTGTAATAAAAAATAACGAGGCTTCAATGTTTTGAAAATCAAAGATTGGAACATCGTTATATAATAAAGATCAAATTTTTTGTGATCAATTTAATTATTGTTATATCAAATTTCCTACTTTGTTATAATAAATCGTCATCTTAAATTTAAAGAATAAATCTGTTCGACTGAAATTTAAAAAATAACGCTTTGATGTTCTTAACAATATAATTTTATGGATTAATTCTTATTCTAATTTCCGAATTTATAGAAATATACTTTATACATAATGGATTTTCGGAGATGAAATTAAAACCTTTCTAGCCTAGATTTTATTTCAGTAAATGAATCCGAATAAATCTATTTCTTAATCAGACCTTAAAGTCTAGCTTTGAATCTGGTCCAGGTAACTATTTTAGGTACGAGAAGTGATACAAAATGTTAACATACTAATCCGTGTTAATAGACTCGACCAAATATTAAACACTTTTAATGAATTAGACTGACTCCCCAATGGACACAAAGTTTTATTAATGACTCACAAATACTGTATACTAAAGAATATGGTAAGTTAAATGCAAATCGCGATAATGCAATATTTAGTACATACAAAAGTGTTATAAATACAAAATCTTAAATATTTTCATTAAATTTATAAAGATAATGCATTGGGAATTTAAATTGCCACAAGCTATTGGGGATTAGGTGTTTGATGTTGCTATTATTGAAATTGCTGCGGTTGACTATATTGTTGTAAATGCTGTGGCTGCTGTGGTTGATTATATTGTGGCTGATTATACTGTGGTTGTTGTGGTTGTTGATATTGTGGTTGTTGATACTGTGGCTGTTGATATTGTGATTGTTGATTATATTGCTGCTGATAATTTTGCTGCTGGTTTTGCTGAACCTGTTGCATATCATTATCACCAGAATTTTCTTTCTTTGAATCAAGATGAATCTTAAAGGAGAGGCCTGCTCCTAATATGAAAGTTATCAGAAGGAACCAACCAAACACATTCGAAGCGATGTAAGACCCACAGATGGCATTCGCTCTGGAATCCACATAAGATCTTTCTTCAGGATCAGCGGTGTAATAATAACATATACTTTCTTGCCCCTTGTAGGCCCAATATAGGTTCGTAAAGACTTTATTTAGAGGGAAATTTTTTAGTAAGTAGGCATAATTTATCATCGATACAATAGACTTAGACTGATCATACCTTCAGTGAACCATAAAACAATGAAAATACTAAAGAAGAGGATGGATATGAATAACAACGAATTGAGTCGTAAGTACCAATAAGAATTAAGTGTACTCACGCGTCAAATCCAACAAAGTAAATCTCACGCCTCTTTTCCCAAATATACCCCATGAAGAATAAGGCCAGATATGCAGCTATGACAAAAAGAAAATATGCAATTAATAAAAAATATTAGGATCTTTGTAGATTATCTAATAAACGTAGGCTTACCAACACCTAAAAATGTAATCAACATAACAATGAACACCCATACGACTGAACCTGCCTTTCCAATAAAGTTTCCCGTGAAATACTCTTTAGAACCACCACTTTTATAGTACTCATTATAAAGGGAGATGAAGTTGGCCACTTGGACGATTTCTGTTTGAAAAAATAATGGAATTAATTGTAATGTTTTTTTTAAACTTTGTATTCGTCACCATACTTTAGTCAATACGAACCTAATATAACTATCAGAAAAACAAAAAGTAGCTGGACACCTTTTATGCCCAGTAAAATTTGTTTAAAAGGAAGATTTATTTTTTTTTACGAAAGGTTAGCTTGCAATCGATATAATCAAAGTTATCGGTAGGAATAGAATGGAAAAGCGAACCCAAGCGTAAAAAAAAAAGCTAATTCAAAAAAATGGTATTTTAAAGATTTTGTATCGAGAGAAAATTTGTTATCATGTGAAACAAGATTCGTGTTACAACAGATACTGTTTCTTAAAAGATTCTATACACAGCATAACGTTTGCCGAATAAAATAATATAAATCCCCAAGCCAAAACAATACTGCACATTACGCAATTACGTATGGTATACACTGGCTATAACGATTGATATCTTTACTTCACGGGCCTATGTGTGTATGCCCTGACACCAATTTTGCGAAACCAAATCTCTATGGTGGAAAGAAAGTCTAGGAGCAGAAAAAAAGACATCTTTGAAAAAAAAGGTCTTGAACAAGAGATATTTTTGGTCAATTATTTTATTAAAAAAAGTTTTTTAACTGCATAATTTCTTTGAACTATCGGACTTCCCTGTAGTATGTATCACAATACGCATACCCCACCCTGCATCAGTTTGAAAACTGCACATAATAACAATCTCATTCACTTTATGGCTAATTTTGGAATAATAAACTATGCCCTGATCGATTGTACAATAATTAAAAAAAAGTCACATTTTATTATTACATTGTAACGGGCAAACGGCGAGTCTGTCGCTAATTCCAACAGAAATTCGCGTAACCGTTACTAGTGATTTAAGGTAACAAATAGGTGATTTGAGGCGCACGATTTGACCGAGTTCTTCACACTTCTCGCACTAACCGCTGCTTTTATTTATCTCACTTATATTTATACATTTCTTAAAATAAAGTGACTATACTAGATATGGAGTGATACACTCTAGTATGATTTGTACAATGATTATAGAACAATTTCTAAAATGTCATTGTTTTCGCTCACAGCCATTATATTGACTGGCCGTGGCAGAGTAGATCGATCATGTGATGACACAGTATCATCGTTCGTTACGCGGCACATACGATCTCCCATGTCTATGACCCATTATCGTAGTACCTCTAGATTTATACAAACATTTTATTATTGTAACTTTTTATTTTACCCTTACAATATATAGAGTATATGATCAGTTTGATGTTAATCTGTTTACAAAACTCATTTAATTAAATAAAAAAAATATTTAAACAATATACAATATAGTGTTAAATAGTATAAACAACTTTAAATAATTGTATATTGCAGAAGAAAAAGAAAAAGTAAGTGCCGCTATTAGGATCACGTGACCAAATATCTGCCCGAGAATTGTGAAAAGAAATCAATATTATAACTATGTAATTAAGCGATAGAAGCTATTAGAATTCCTTACCGTTTTCTTGATATTTTTTGTATTTTCGTTTTTCTTCTATCTGGTTTTATGGAAAAAAGTACATATGAGGATTGGTAACTAAACAATTGAAAAAAAAATTAATGAATACTTATCTTGATCAAATCTAACGCCTCGCCAACACTCAATCCTTTTATAAACTCCTAATATCCGTTACACAAATTTTATTATCTCTTAGCAATTGATTTACCAGTTACCAGTAACAATAGATATATATTGATAATGTTTTACAAATATTTTAATTTTTTAAACTTGATATCTATTTTTATTTAAATAAAATAAAATAGTTAATAATAATAATATCAATAATAGTAATAATATAATAAATACTAAGTATATCTAATTAAGATAATAATTTTTATAGAAAGGATTTTTTATTAATTTATTTATCAATTCATGTTTTTAAAAACCTTCCTTATACAGTATATATAGTGTGGAAAAAAAAATTAATAAATTATTAATAAATTTAAATATAATTAAATCAATATTTATAAAACAATAAAAAAAAAACTCTTTCCCAAACACATCAGGTTTCCTAAAAATTTTCTTTTTAGGTAATTAGGAAAAATTTTAAGAAAAAACAAGCCAAGCGTCCTTGGGGGCTCCTCCTCCAAGGTAAAACCTCCAGACCCAGTACATGCTCTCTTGGGCATTGTTCTCATTAACCCAAGCAAACTTCTGTTTGCCGTAGTCTACATGGAAATAAATACATGCACTATTTTAGTCTCCCTTCCAGGAAAAAACATATCCATTTCACCACTTGTCAGCTTCCCCAAATATTGGATTATCCCAGTTCAGGAAAGCTCCTCACAAGCCCAGGATGATATCCCAACAATATATATCAAGTTCAGTATCTCTAAAACTACCAGAGCAACTTACCAAGCATTTACTATAGTAACAGCCAGCAAACCAAGGAAGAAGTTCAGCTTCCAACTAGAGGAGTTTTTCAAATACCAGGACAGCAACAAACTTAGCCAGGCCGACAGAGAACAAATAGCACAAAAAGTTATCAGCAGCAACCTCAACTACAATTGACATCTGTCATGGAACCAAGTTAATATCAAAAATAAAGAGAACAGCACATTTCAATTAAAAAAGATATTAGACTTATTTATTCACCCTCCACCAAACACCCCAGTACAGGAGGAAAACCTTCTACCGTCATTAGACAATACTGCTAATAGTTTCTTTCCCACACTTGAGAATTCTCAAGCCCAAAAAACCACAAACAGCTTACCCCCTACAAATGATTAACAAAACTTATCATTAGCACCAAATGCGCAAGTTATGCATACAAGTGTGCCTAATAACCACAATACATCACACGATCAACAAGAAGCAGGTAACATGATGCAAGTTGACGACTATCAGCATGCAGTTACCCCTGATGCCAATCAGGACAAATCTGGCAGCACAATCAGACCAACAAGTCCAGTATCTGCAATCGACATCTCCATGGATCCTATGGGACAGGACATCTCAATCTCCAACACAGAATCGTTAGCAGAATTCAACAGACAAGTGCAAATAGACTTGAAAAAACTTCAAAACTCATCATTGGATCACTCCACTAGGTCAGAAACTACAGACCTGAACCCAACAATACAAAATAATAATATTACAACTCCTTCAAATAAGAAAACAAGTCTTGTAGGTGACCTGTTAGTATTACCTGAGTCATCAACCACCTCAAATAGCATAACAACCTCACCAACCTTGTAACCATTAGATTCAAGAGAGCAAAGAGTAATCAATCTGCTCATGGAAAGTAACCCCAATACTCAACAGATAATAGATAAGGATTCAACCAAACAGCTCATCAATACAGATAAGTCTTTTGTTAGTGAGCACAATATAATTATCAATCTGGCTGCACAATTAAGTCACTGCCACGCAAATACCCAAGAAGTTATAAACACTCTCAAAGAAATCACTAACAAGCCCAAAGGCTCAGTCCTTCAAGAGCCGCAATTCGCCATCTTTACTAAGATTCTATTCAGAAACAGATCCTTTTTCAGATTATTCACTAAAAATGAGCATTTTAAAGGCAATCATCAAATAGAATATGAGGCACTTGAAGAGAAAGTGCATATCAAATACAAGAGACAAAACAACTTAGGATATATCAACAGAAGTACAAAAAGAAAAATCTGATGGCTTTTAAACTTAACCTTGTTTGTTGCATGCCTCAGATTTACAGACCTGTCAAAACTCAAATATTATAAAGTAGCACAGCTCCTTGAATACGGCTGCAACTATCTTATTAAAAATAATGACAAGACATTGGATTATATCGAAGTACTAAACATCTGCAAACAAACACTGTATGAGTCATTACCTCCACTGCTCCAATCCTTTGATCAAATTTCATCGAATATTATAATTAGATTACCATGCCAACTACCAATGAGAGGAAGAACACACCTACCCAAAGTACTCTCAGTCTTACACACCTACTATAAGTTCGAGCACATACTGGATTCATTCTTTTACACACCTCCTCTACTCCCAAAGAAACCAGAGGAACTTAACGAAGTGACCAGACTACTGTTTCCCATTGTTGAAAAAAAGGACCTTATAACACTTGCTGAAAAAGCTAAGGAACTGAGAAAGTACTACAGAATTTCACAAAAACTACACAAATCGTATTTCAATCTGCCCCTTCCAAAGAAAACTTTGCCAGCATCATACAAACTTCTCCCATCTCATTTAACAATATACTTTTCACATGACCCCATAATAATGGACACACGCGAACTTATTGACATACTGAGAAAGGAGTACAAGCTTATTACCTTGCCAATAGATTACTACAATTACAAAAGACCTCTTTCCAGGTCCCCTAACCCACTCCTAGATGAGATTGACATTCCAATCCCAGCAAATACCAAAGAAAATGCAATGGCCTTAATTGCTCATCTAAGAAGTGACTTCAAATTTAACCTTCCCCTTGGCCCAGCATGGATCGACCTAGCAATCTCACAAACTAATAAAGAAAAACTGCCAAGTAAAATCAGTGAAGTAGATGTCTCACTAGGAATTGGCACCTTCCTGGACTATAGGGATGAGCAATACCAAGAGAAAATTAGAAAACTTGACCAGAGATATGAATTTCTTACACTGCCAGAAGACTGGTTCAAAGCTCCTAAAGCACCTCTCCCCTCAATTGAAGAACTGAACAAAGTCAACCAAGAAAATCACATAGACATCCAATTTTCTCTCAGAGATGATGACAACTTATCAACCTACATCGCTTAACTTCACAAGAGCTACAATTTTGACAGACTATCAAACGAATATATACTTGTAGAGGACTTACCGGAGCCCGGTTTTGACCTCATCCCATTTATTTGCTAAGATGAGAAACTCATCCAACTATATATATTCATTTAACAGTTTTATACAAAATACTACCCCTGACACCAATACCGCTGCCACAATTAAAAATCTTCTCAACATCACAACATT